GGAGACGTCTTCGGGCAGCGCTGGCTCTTCGGCTTTGAAATGGAGATGAGCACTGCCCCCTAGAATTGGGAACGACTACACATATGTGCAAGTAGAACCTTTACCTTTATCTTAAGAGAGCCAGTATGGTATACTGGTGAAGGCACCATACTAGACATTGGAAGACTCTGAATTCTAGTCCTGCCTTAGGCACAAAGCCAACTGGGAGACTTTGGGCCAGTCATTTTTCAGTTCTAGAAATAAGGCAATGACAAACCATTCCCCCCCACCCCCAAAAAAGAAAACCTTGTCAGGAAAATTGGAGGCCTTGTTCAGGCTTCCAATAGGAATCAATGTTGATTCGAAGAGATGTAGGCCAATGAATGGTAAGATAATAGGAGATGATTTTCAGGTTTTTTAATACGAGCTTATACTGATGATTGTTTATTGTTTATTTATTTATTTTAGTACATATTTGGAAACACCATTAAGAGGAAATGCAGAAAAAAAATGAAAAAGACAAAGGAGGTTTAGAAACTCTTAGAAACTTAAGACTAAGTAAAATTGTGAAGTAACATTAGATAAATGCTGCATATTAAATGTGCTATTTGCATTTTGCTACCTTCTATCTAGATTACGACCATATCTCTAACAGATATCACTAACCAATTAAACTTCCATATATTGGCATACATTTTGACATATAGCAGGACATTTTAATGGAAGTCCTCCAAAAACCAGAATGGATTTTTTGTGTGAAAGTATTATAACTGAGTTAAGTATTTAAATCAATACTTGGTTCCAAATAAGCATCAGGACTCCAAATTCTACTGTATTAGGACTTCTAATTGTAGTCCTCTTTATGTGAATATAATTAGAAGTCCTTTTATCTATCTACCTATCAGGTTGCTAGGAGTTCAAAATTACTTAATGACACATAATCAATCAGTCAAGTGGAAGTCACTAAACACTTCACTTTGTTACAAATGTGCAAAGATCTTTGCAAAGAATCGTGCATAGGGCTTACATTGGTACCTCTGTACATAAGACTTTAATCATGCCCATCTTGTCTACATCAATGAAAATAGAAAATGTTTCAGTCATTTAGAGAGTCTCATCCATATGTAAAAGGGGCTATAAAGGTAACAAACTATGCCTTGATGCTTGGAATTGGATCCTTTTCCATCAAAGTCCTCTGAAGCTCAAAGCAGAACTTTGTGGAACCTGCAGAATCTAATTCTAATCCAGTTTTGATAAAACAAATACCTGGATGAATAAACTGTTGTAACTGAATAAATTTCTGCTGATTATCATAAACAGGGGAAATAAATACTTGTATGTGTGATACTGTTGGAAGAAATATCCTTCTGGTTTCAGTTCCAAGTGGAGGGAAAGAACCAGCTGAAAACTGGAAACATGGAGGCTGCTTGGAAAAATGGTTTAAAGGTGGACAGGACCACATGGTTTGAGGTCCTGGGGGAAAAGGTGATCACATGCTTCCAGATGTTGGGTGAAGAAGAAGTGAGAGAGGAAGAAGCTTGCTGGGTTTGTTATAATCTGTTCAGCCCCATCTCTCTGTTCCTGTGTATTCTGAATGGTTGTCAGACTCCTATGGGGCCATGCAGGGGCAACTCTCTAGGCTGAATCCGGGTTTGGTTGAGTTCTCAGATGCCATGTGGTGAGTTGGGTAAAGGACTAATAAATAGACTGGCCTAGGCTTTTTTTCAGTGGCCCATTAACAAAGGTGGGGG